GTCCCATCCCCTGCCTGCTCCCCCAGTCCCCGTGAGTGCCCCCAACCCCCGCCTGCTCTCCCAGCCCTTTCAATGGCTGCCCCACCCAGCCCCAGCATCTTAGTGCCTTAAAAAAAAAATGTTAAAAGCCCCGCACTCACCGGCTACTGCAGCAGCTGTCGGGGCCTCTGGGGGCTCATGGCAGAGCCCCCTCACACAGCATGGGGCAGTGGGATTCCCCCCTCCCCCCTCCCAGCCTGGCGGCAGCCAGTAAGTGCAGGACTTTTTTTTTTAAATGTGCCCGGGACGCTGGGGCCGGGTGGGGCAGCCATTGTTGAGGCTGGGAGAGCAGGCGGGGGATGAGGCCCTTTGATTCGGCCAATTCAGCAGTGGCCGAATCTTTGATTCAGGTTCAGCTGAATCAATTCAGGACAGTGATTCAAATCAGCTAATCGAATCCGAAGTGAATACTAGCTGCTTTGCACGGGCATAGTAAGTAATATGTGTATATCATGAGACCCAGTTCTACAAAGACTTACGCGCCCACTTAAATTTATGTACGTTGAATGATTGCATTGACTTTAGGACAATCACCAAGTGCCAGGTTAAGTACATGAGCAGGTCTTTTTAGGATCAGGATCCATTTGACTGTATGTAATGGTGATTGTTTTGAGGTTCTGATTTTTCCATGTTGGATTTTGCCAGTTCTAAGGCTATTTATGCCTCCTGCTCTTGTCTTTTAATAAACACAGAGACAAAGAACTAATTTCTAATCAATATCTGCCTATGCCAATAAACTGCCTTTTCATCTCTTAGAAAATCTGCCTTCTCCTTTTCCTGACCTATTGATTCTTCCATGTTTGAAATGCAGTTTTGTTATTTGCCTTAATGTTTTGTTCAATCTATATCTCCATTTACATTAATTTTAGATATAATCTTCACATTTCTGTTCTTACTTTTCAATACGTGGTGTTTTATAGCTCCTCACATGTGCTTTCTTGTTTAATCTTGATATTCTTTTGTTCTTTGTTCATGTACACGAGCTCCATATTTTCCTTAGTTTTAAGCCTACTTGTTGCTGTATCACATGCATGACCATGACTTATATGATAATTACTCTTAAAAAACTTCTACAGTGCTTTGTGCCCTTCACAAAGCATTGTAATGTTTCTCTGAAGCCAGAGCAACACTAAAAGCAATAGTAGTAAATAATTGATTAATGAAGGGTACGTATGGGTATGGGTAGAGGTATCTGGAGGAATATTGGATTCTATTGGTTGAAGAGTATAGGACTCTTTTCAAGCCCCAGCCTCTGTTTTTGAAGAGTAGAATATGAACCAGTTATGTTGTAAACTTGTCATTCTCCTTCATAACTCCATTCTGCAGAATGAGGGCAGTAGAGAACTCTCTCAGTTGTCATTTTTGTCAGTTCAGGAGCGGATCCACTGTCTTTGTAAGAATTATTCATTAGAGCTAACTACTACATAGATAAATGGTACTTAATGAAACTTTTTTCAAACTCTGTGATTCTGAAAAGGATTGTGTGCTATAGATGTAAAGCCAAATAACATTAGAATTCTGAACTTTTCTCTACTATTAACACAGATAGTCTCTCTGGAAAGATACAAGAGCAGGTCATCGAGTGATCAGTTTCTAACACCATAGAGGATAAGTAACAGCCAGCATGGATTTGTCAAGAGCAAGCCTTGCCTAACCAACCCAGTTTTCTTCCAGGACAAAGTAATGCATTTTGTGGATGAGGTGGAAAGCAATGGATGCCTTTATACCCTGACTGGCCACCCTTCCCAGCACCACCACAAGCACCTGCCCTGTGCAACTGATTCTGCCCCATACCTGCCCACTCTAAGCCCAGCGCCCCCTCCGGGAAGAGACTGGCACAGCCCCTAGCTCTGAGCCCACAGCAGTCAACCTGCTTCTGCCCCTCACACAAATCCAGGAGGGCACATGCCCCCCCATGCCTCCCCTGGGGGTGTGCACAGTGGTGGGGAGCCTCTCCTTTCTCCCCCACGCCGCCCTCTGTGCACCCCCTGGATGAGCTGCCCACGACTCTGTCCCACTCTTCACCCCAGGGCCACATGCACCACCCTGGCTGAGTAGTGCCTGCCCCTGCCTTGCTCCCTCCCTCACCACAGGGGCCTCAATCTGCTCCCCACCATACACCTCTTCCTTCTCCTACGGCCTTCCTCCCCACACCCAAAGAATAACTGGCAGGATGCTGCTTTCCAACCTGTCCAGCTGCATTCCTGTTAATCAGCTATCGGATTGGTATCCAGTGGTATGGCTGGTTAATAATTGGCCATTGGTATCAGCCAAGAAAATCTTTATTTGTGCACCCCTAAAATTAGAGCTTTCCCATCTCTCCCTCTCTGTGAGTGATCTTGGGGCATAAGAGCACTGTGGTGTCTACTGGAGTTCTATACATCCAAGCCAACCATCAGTAATGCAGACTTAACTTGTTGACATTACTGTCCTAGTTAGATTTGGCAGCAGTCATCAGTGCTTTAGGGCAGCGGGCTGAAACAACCTCAGCTCTGTGGTGGACTGGTGCTTGTGACACAGCAGCTGGTGCTTCTCCATGCCACCGGAGGCAAAACCCTCGTGCTGGAATGCTGCTGAAATGCTGCCAAAGTATCCCCCCTCCCCACCACCCTGGATCTGCAGTCCACCCATTGCCAACCCCTGAGCTAGAAAAGTTAAAGAAGTGGAAAGCAGAGACCATGTCAAAGTTCCTTCTGGCTGACATTAGAAATGGCAACAAAGCTTCGGAAGAAAAAGCACCTGTACTAGTTAGAACTGTACTTGGCAACAGACATAATTGCAGATAAGGAGATTAATTACTGTGCCGTGGGTCTTGGGAACATTACTTAAACAGCCGTGCAACAAGGAATTGGCAACTGAAATGTGAAATATTGTAGTGTTGGTTGGGGGAAATGGGAGGGAGGGAGGTTCCTTCCTTCTTTCTTTCCAGCTTCTTTCCAGGACTGGGTTTAATAAGAATGGACCACTAGAGGCATCATGAGTAAAATGTCCCTAATGTCTTCTCACATTCCTATGTGAAATAACTATTATGGAGTGCTTATCACTTGATATCTCAATTTGGCCATTGAATTCAGGAGCTTGCTGCTTTTTTCTGTTCTTTACCAAGTTTTTTTCTCCTTAAAGGATATTACAGTACAGGAAATGACAACATATTCAAGCCACAAGTATATCTTAAACTCAGGTTATATGACTTAATTATTCTTCTAAGAATGATATGAGTGGAGTACGTATCTGCTGTACTGAACTGTACAAGCATGGGTTGAATTTTCAGGTGATGCAATTGATTTGAGGATGTGTGTGATTTGGGGACCCAGAAGTTTCAAATTTTTATTTTAAAATCACTATTCTCTGAGAAAAAGGGTGGTTTTGAATGGCTTTGATTTTGCTGGAGGAGCATCCTTTGATATGAAGGAACATTCTGATAGGTTGCAGTGAGTATATTGATGCAGCAAGGTGGAAGAAATGGAGGAAAATGCATTTATACGTACACCTAGACAGCAGGCTGCTGTGGGGAGAAACCCTTTCAATCTCTGTTTGCTTATAACCTAGCAAACCATTACTGGGAATTGTGGACATGTATTACAAATCATTAATAATGAATCAATTTTTTTCTTACAAAACAGTGATTGTGAAAGGAAAGATCTGGCAGCTGAAAATGCTGACCTAGTGGCTGCCTCTTGTAAACCAAAGTGCCATGGTGCCTCCAGACTTTTCTGTACAAAACTGTAACAAACCCTGACTTTTATAACACAATTCAAGCAAGATAATGCTATGAACTATCGTGCAAAGGCCTAAGCTCTAGGTTTTCCAAGGTTACAGAAGTGCAGCTCAGCCTGTTACATAAAATTGTTTAGAAAAGTCAGCCAAAGTTAAAGATAGAACGTCTGGATCTGTCCAAAGAAGAAAACCTTCTGATACCACCAAGGGCTGGGTTGAGATATGACCTTGCTCAGTCAGTGAACCAAGATTGATTGTGCTGGAAATTAGGGCATAATTGGTGGACAAAATAATAAGAGGATGGGCTCAACTGTCCATCACTTTTTATGGTCATTAACACTGAAGCCGTGAAAATGGCGGACAGAAAGGAGTGATTTTTAGTTCCATGGCTGCCATTTCCACCAGTTTTTGGTATATGAGGATCTGAAACACTTGGGCCTCATTAATCTAATTCTGAAAGACACCCTGGATACCCCAAGTCAGAAGGAGGCATCCATGTGTTTCTGCCTTCCCTTTTCCATTCAAACCTTGTTTCTTCTTTCCCATGCTTTTTTGTTTGTTTAAATTTGTTAAAGACCAGTCTGGCTCAGACAACCAAGACTGGATCTTGCAACACTGCTGCAATACCCATGGCCAAAAAGGCAGCTGAGAGCAAGATCTGAAACAGCTCAACAATAATGCAAGTTTGCAAGCTTTTGGAATGACTGATAAGACCATCTGCTGTTTCTTTCTTTCTTTAATAGTCAGGTTGCTAAGAGTTAGAGCCAAATGGAGCTGCATTTTTCTTAGCTGTTCTTTCGTCTCCCCATTTGTTTTGCATTTTGTCTTGTTTTGCTTTCAGGAAGGCAGAATCAGACTCCAACAACAACAGCAGGAACAAAAGTTTCACCCCATCTGAGCTAACTTTTTTCTCTCTCTTCTCTGAAAAAGACAATTACTACCATTTACATGGCTGCCAAGCAGAGGGGTTTCCTTATAAAAGTTTTGTACAGGGAAACGGATGCTGTTAAAATAAAGATTTACCCTACTATTTTAAGTTTCAAAAGTTTTTAACTGAGTTTCCTCCTTTTTTCTGTATTTCTAAGAAAGGGTACAAAGTTATTAATGGTGATCATTTGCCAGGGACTAAGCAGGCCAACGCCTCTGTCCTTGAAACCCTAAGCCTTGTTTGATAGTGTAATGTTGTATAATTACTTGGTCTCTTGTTTGCAGTGCTGACTCTGTTCCCCATTTATTCTGTCTGAATTAGCATAGCAAAATTTAGAGGCTTCCTGCTTTAAGGGAGTAAGGACAGGATTCAGTGTAGGGAAGTCTTGAGGTCATTCTTGGCTCTACACCAGGCTCAGTATCTAGCTGTAATAAATCATGTGGCCTTCCTGCCACAGTTTCTACACCTTGTAAGATGAGGCTGTTTAATACCTAGATACCCAAACTATAGGGGTGTTTGTAAAAACAAATCAGTTAATATTTACACAGTGCTCCAGAAGCATAAAGTGTCCTGTAAGTATTATTGCTATAAACAAATTTCCATTTTACTGTGACTGAAGTGCAAGGCATTTATTGGGTAATGTCATGCAAGGCAGAGAGAGAACCCCTACCGTCTTCTCCTACCTACCTTTGTCCTATAGGATCCTATAACTGTTACAACTTTCTGTACCATCATGGTAAATACGATATTTTAAGTTATAAGTGTGTTCCTGTCTCACAAATATGTCATGCTACCTGGGGATTCTGGCTTTTTGCTTGAACTCCTTCATATAAAGTGCTTCACTGACTCTCCTTTGTGCTGAATTTATCAGCTCTCGCTGTTTAACACAGGGCAATGGCAGCAGAAGCAGAAGGGGCTCTGAGAGCAGCTGTAGATTGTGACTAAAAGGCAGTGTTTTGAAGGAGCATTTTAGGGGAGCATGAAGAGCATTCCTGGCTGATGCAAAGGATGTGCATTAGTTGCATGTGCTACCAGAACAAGTAGGTTCTTTGCAGTTTTGTTACAGTAATAGCCCTGGCACTTAGAGACAACAAAAGACCAATTTTGGGCCACATCCAATTGTGGCATTTTACGTGCATCAATCCTACACTTGGGGTGGACGCATTATATCCTGTAGGGGTCTCATTTTTCATAGTTAGAGGTACCAGCTTCACTGCAACCTTCCCAAGCAGAACCCTTTAACACCCTCAATGATAGCATGCCCAGGAGCTGGTCCCAATCCTGGTCCCATTGAATTCAAAAGTTAAAACTCCTCTTGACTTAAATATGGCCAGGATGTCACATACTGGGTGCACATGCACTTTACTGCTGAGTTGACTAATTAGCTGCACAGTAAACATCACCTTCTACACCTTACGTTGGTATTAGGGCACAGTAAACTTAATTAACTCCACTGTAAGATAGTACTATTAGGGACAATACCATCTTACAGTGGAGTACTTAACTCCACTGAAATGCATGTGTAGATGGTGATGGGCTGGCTGGGGCACAAAGGTGCTATAGTGTGGGGGTGCCTGCTATCTAGCTCCACACTTTAGCACCCTTGTGACCTGCTGGCCCCTCCACCACCCAGCACCACCACCTGGAGCCCAACAGCCTAGAGCTGCTCCACCTTGGCTCAGAGTGCTGTGGTCCCAGGCACATGTTTAGATGTTGTGCCTAGGAGCAGTTGACCCCAGTGCAAAGTGCGCCAGAGTTTATCATATTGCCTAAATAACCCACATATACGCACCCACTGTCTTTAAATATAATATTCCTTCTAATCCAACAGTGTAACAGTCTTTAAAAGAAAGCTGCTCTTATCAGTGTCTCCCCAAGACCTGGCCACTAAGAAAACTATTTTCTTTTACTTTGTTTCCCTCAGATTCTTACTAATCTCACTGGCCTTCATCCCACATAGTCTGAGGTTCAAGCCTAGTGACCCATTGGGCTAGTGTGGCTAAGGCATACCATTTTTTGCTGCTGATGGTGGCTA